TCCCACCGTAACATTGTTCCTGGTGGCTGGTAAGTCTGGGGCATTTGCAAAAACGCTCTCTTTGTTCGTGTGCTAATCAAGTGTATAGCGCTGTGTTCCAGGCTGGCGGCCTGGTCGTTGTTCTGGTCGAGGTAAGTCGAAAGCCTTACTTGGCGTCCATTGTACCAGTCATCGTCAATGCCATTTTGAATGAGCATCAAATCATCGTCGACATTGTGGCGTTTGTCAGCAAAGGTGATTTCCCGCGCTCTCGACTTGGTGAAAAGCAGCGCGGCAAGATTCTCGCTGGATGGGTCACTCGCAAGCTGCGTACGCTGGCACAATTCGCCATTCGCGACCTCGACGTGGGCGCCATAGGCGAGTCCGGTAGCGGTAGCGGCCCTGGCGATCTTGCAGATGCCCATCGCATGTCCTCAGGAAGCATCCGTAGTTCAGGTGTACCTGCTGGCGCATCAAGCCTACGAAACGTCGAGCATGCACCGCAGATTTTGGAACAGGAAGAGCTAGACGTCCAGATGAATCGCATGGCGCACATGCCACCCGCTTCGGCTCCTGGCACTGCATCCACGGTTACGCATGACGATCAAGTGACACCGACAGGATTCGCCCAGGGTGTATCATCAGATACTCTTAGTCAAGGAACTTTGAGCCGCGACTCGGCGTCGCAGCCTGGATATTTTGACGATGCACAGCGGAATAGGGAGGCGGCCTATAACGATGACCAGGCTCCAGCTGTTGGGCCGAAGCCGGACTCATCGAGAAGTCAGGACCATCCCAACGCCGCAAAAAAACGAATGGTCCTACCGGGTGTGGACGGTAGAGAAGGGTTTCAATTTTGGGACAGCCCCCCGGGAGAAGATGACGAGACGGACTGGACGGCCGAAGCAATTATGCACATGAATCTTGCTGGAGATATGAGCTCCAGATGAAGATTATGCAAAGGGAAAAAGTATTGACTGTGGTCTGGGGTTCCGCCTAATTATTGGGACACCCGATAGACCACATGTGTGAGGCGAGACAAGGGCGCAGGGGGTGTTGCATACCGCATGGGCTGTGATGTAAGCCCGTTTTTTTTTCTTTCCTGTTGCCTTTATGTTTCTGGATTATGAATATGCTTTGGGCAAACATAAATGGACCTTGGCTTGACGTGTATAGGCATGGGAAAGCGCTACACCAACATGAATATACAATACCAGCGTAGACGCTGATTTTACCTTGTAAATTATGCGTGCATCTATGCAAAGCCGTGCATGTTATTGCACTGGGACTCCCGCTAACCGAAATGCCGAAAAGGAAAGCAAGAGCAGAAATGCTTTAGCAGTTCATCATCCCTCAGATGTCTTCCAGTGTAACGCCATTCCACCCAGCCTATCCTTGATGGCTCGGCGCCGTTTTCATCGGGGTCTGTTGAGACGGCATATTGAAACGTCAACATCTATCGATGAGACTGTCCCCCCAGTCACGAAGAGCACTTATGTCGGCAAAAGGGGTCCAGGTTTTTGGTCACCCCTTAAATACGATGCTGCACTAGTAAGTTTCCGTTAATGGACCCCGCCTTCTCTGTTTAGCAGCATGTTCTTTAAGGGTGACAGTGACGGTGAACCTCTACTTCTGGAGAGACTGGGTTGGAGACATGTTGCGATGATATGCTTGGTGTTTTGTGAGACGTGAGAGGATAAACTGGGAACTAGCTTCACGGCAAAGCACTACCTCTGCAACGGCGTGGCAAGAAGTGTACATTGTTTCTTGTGTTTACTACGAACGACCGACGAGTCAGCTACTTCACTGTCAATTTCATCGGGTGTTTCTCACTCCTTGCGGAGCCTACATCGCCCAGGTGTGGAAGACCTTTCTTCCGAGGCTACCACATGGCCATCACCACAGGCCAACGCCTCATTACCTACTAAGTTTTGGTCTAGCCGCGACTATTAGGCCATTGGCTAGGAGGAATTCATTGCACAATGGCTCCCTTCCAGGGTATCCCGTCCCCATGAGGGTGGCGCGAGCGGCCTGCACGGGCCGCTGTGTCAGGAGAGCACCGCCCGTTCTAAACTCGGCGACGGAAGGGCCCGTTGCCATGAAACGAGAATGAGATGGAGGAGGAATGCCAAGTGTCTGGTTCTGCCTTGTCGGCCTCCAAAGAGCGGCTTCGGAAAGCCAGGGCCGCGGACGAGGCCTACAAATCTCAACACAACACGGCACTGCCCTCGAGTCTGGTGGCACTAAGCGCCGGGCCCTGTGCTGACCAGACACCACATCATGACGCAAATTCTTTCATGGTCGTCTATCAAGTCACAAAGGAAGAACAGGTATGTGCTGCGCCCGGCATCCGGCCATCGACCCGGGAACCTCACGGACCGCACGTTTAGCACCGCAAGCGGCTGGCCATCGAATCGGTTCAACAAATCCTGTCATCTGCTGCATTGTTCCCGACTCCCGGGCGCGCGTGAGCTTGAAAGAGATTGCGGCTGAGCCTCCGTCGCGGTCCAATTTTGGAAGTGCCTGTCAACATTCGAGCCTCGTATGCAACACCTATTCTGATATTGGCAGCGATATGGATTTGTCTCGCAATAGACGTATGATCAAAAGGATAAAAAGGGAGACTTTTACTGGTCTCCATTGTTTCGCACCTGAGACTCGTGGAAGTTCCGTATCATTCTCATTCTGGGTGGCCGATGCATGTGCTGTGGTGAGAATTAGCGCCAGCCATGAAAACTTACAGGTAGACGAACGCGGTCGTTTTAACCCTAGAGAAAGGAGGCTACATGTCAGTCCTTCAATCGCATGTCGATTTTTCGGCAATTACTAATGACTGACTTGGCGCTGCAGAGCTTTCTTACCGACAACCGCGGAGACGGCAATATGCAAACCTATATTAGATGCAAGTGCGGTCAGTGGAGTATTAGCAGCTATCAATACCCTCAAAGTGCTGAGTCTCTGAATGTCCTAATACGAAGCGTCGGGTCGTGTTTTCCCAGAGTTCATGATCAAGGCATTGTGTGCCGAAAACTCGAAAAACATGGGGAGGAACAGCGCTCTGGTACACTCTGACCGGAAACCCTAATGCTCTTGGACTTCTAAACTTCCAACATCGAGTTCCTTGACCGTTTCTGTGTTTCGGAGGGCCTTAGGTAGTGGCTCGATCGATATCGATGCCTCCCATGTCAACGACGAGAGCAAGATCCATATGGGCCAACGTCAGTATACCGCGTGTCCATGAATATGCCGTGTTCCCTGAACTACTTGTGAATGAAATAACTCGTGCAGTCTTCATTTCTCACTTACAGCTAACAAGCACGCACAACACAGCATAGCACAAGCCCTCATGCAAAGATGACAATCACACCAACACGGCCTACTGATTAGCAAAGTCGGATTCGGAGAATAGCCAAGTCAACAGGTTGCAAGCAAAGCATCGCCGTCCAAAAGTGTGTCGACATGGCAGAGTAGGTTCCACGCCCAAGAGCACTCACCCGTTGCCCTCCCCCGAATGCTTTCTTTTGATCCCTTGGACCGGTCTCACGTCAAAGCATCCCATTTCTTCTTTGAGCAAGTGTCCACATGTACAAAAACGCGGCGCTCTTTAGCTGCCGTGTCGCAAAACCTTGGAGGAATGAATGGAGAAAGGCAGGGATCGAGCAAAGGGCCGGGCTCAATGAAGATTCTTGGCTTGCGCATTCGACTGAGCTTTTGTCTGTTGGCACAATGTGCGCAGCCCGGGCTAGGAAATGCGTCCGACCATGTAGCTACGCCTGGTGCTTCGCGTCAAAGCTTATTGTGAAGCAGGGGTGATTACAGACGCAAAATCAAGCGCATAGCGCTCAAATGATGACATGAGCGTGGTTGATGGTTGCCCGAGGACGGCCGTGAATGCGTGGGATAAAGACGTGTGAAGTTTGAACGGCGGCGTCCAATGCTGCTGCGTCGATACAGCGGATATAGTGCAAATGTCGATTTTGACGCTGGGATCTTGCTGAATTTCTTCTTGGATAGTTCTCGCCGTGGGAATGCGCCGCGGGCAACAGTCGAATGGCTCAAACGGCGCAGGGCAACGCTGCATTGATTGTTTCAATGAAATGTTGCCATTTGATGGAACTTTGATGGCGGAAAGGGCGTTGGGGCCGCGGTTGACCTTTCAACAGTGTTGAATCAACACTTGACTGTGCTTGACCTTTGAACACTGCATCTTCAGGCCCCACATGCGCCTCTATGCTTCCCGCTTTCTTCTTCATTGTTCCATGTCTTGCTCTATCAAACCCGACCGGCAGCGTCCAAGACATCTTTTCAGCCTCTCCTAAGAGATTGGCCGTGCAGGCAGTTCTTGGTTCCTTCATTGAACTCCTGCGTCTGATGAAAAAGCCAAGGAGATGTCGGTCTCGTCGAGTAATGGCGACGCTCGCCACACCATGAGCAGGTCCATGATGGCACGTTGCGCCAAAAAAAAAAAAAAAAAAAAAAACAATCTACGGGGTTTCCATGAATGTTGGGAACTCATGTCTGCAATGATTTGAAGGCGAGAATCTTGGATACATGAGATTGATGTGAAGCCCGTTCGGTTCAGAGATGAAATGTTCCCATCACGTAGCTCGAGCTCGGCGACTGCAGTCTTGGTTCCCTCCTCCCGCCCTGAATGGACGGAATCCAGTCCATTGGTGGACCCAAAGACTAACAAAGTCACTTTCAGCACACATAGAAGTTCAAAGTGTCTTGTTTAGCAGCGTTCACGGACGGCCAACATGGAGGATAATCCAACAAGCCGCAGCCTTTGTACGCGGCGAAAGAGACGCAGTGCCCTTTTCAGCGGCTTTTTGTGAGCTAGAACAAGACAGGAGCAAGAAAGTCATAGACGGGCTGTAAATCCCTTTCTGTCCATGTCCGTTGTGTTCAAATCGTGCTTTCCGCTGCCGGTGCCCTCTTGGCTGGCTCTTATATATTCCGTCGTCCCAAACTCGATTTTCTCTTGGAAGAATGTTCAATGCATAAGACCAAGAATGGGAGCCATGGACGACTATAATAACGCCGCACAGAACACCGACATGGGCCGCAGACAGCCAAGCAACATGACGAATACTGTCACCCGGACGCCCCAGAGACGCAGGCCAAACACGGCCTATGACGGCCATGATTATGGACAGCAACAGCACACAGTCAACGCAAACCATGACGGCTACGCCTTGAGCTTTGTCAACAACCAGGTCCTGGGTCGTGACATGGAGACACATTTTCCGAGTGACCCATGGCCTCCGAACTTGGGCCTACAACCCGGGTTGCAACCCAGCGCACCGCAGTGTTACAATCAGATGAATGAACCTCCCTCATACCAGGCTATGTTATGCCAGGCTATGCTTAGCCACGGTGGCCAAGGTTCCAGGCAATCGTTGAGCCAGCACCACTCAAGCTCCCAGGTGTTTGCCTCTCAGCTGCTCCCACTGCCGGTGTATAGCCAACACCAATGTATTTCGCCGGAATACCACCAGCCAAGTGAAGGTTACGATATCGATGAAGCCAATGGTGCCACGGCCGTTGATGCGGCCCGGCCCTCCCAACAGGCATGTCGTCAAGGCAGGGTGAAAACCTCACGGCCTACGGCAAGTCACGACGTGGCAGACTCAGATACCGAGTATGCTGCTACAGACCATGAGAATGACAAGGACAGCAATGATACACCAGACATCAGGAAACAGAAGCGCTATCAGAAGAAGTACGAGGACCAAGAGCCTGAAAGAGACCCGAAGACGGGTAGATTCCGCCAAGTATGCAACCTTCGCAAACAGAAGAAAAAAGGAAGGCCCGATACCAAGCCGGAGGAAGTCTACGAAAATTTCACCGAATTCCGTCTCAGAAAAGGAATCAATTTGAAAGCCAAGAACATTCCCAACGGTCAGAGTAATGAAGGGTTCAAATACAACGAGTCTGGGCAGCTCGAGCGTAAGACTTTTAGTAGAGAGGATATTAGGGAGATTGTCAAGTTTAAAATCGAGGAAAGCCAAGAGTCAAAAGTGCCTCCGGAAGACTCACAAGAGCCTCCGAAAAAATACTTCACAATGTGGATTCAGAGCGCCCCATGCCAAGCCGGCGGTCGTCTAAATCGAGATTGGGATCAAAATTGCAGGTGGGAAGATTGCCCCGCAAAGAATAGAACAGTTCGCTCAGGACAGTTCCGGGTTGCGTTCGATGAGTTACCAAATTTCACGGGAAAAGGACTCGTCGACCCCCTGAAACCAGCCCTCGTCTTACACCTACGGTGCTTCGAGGAGGTCTTCTCCAGAGAGGAGACGCAGAAATATCTCACCGACGGGGTTTTGAAAGGAGACAGGCGCGAATTTGAGAGGGAAGATAGAAACATTGTGCGTTTGGACAAGGACGGCAAAGACCATTCCCGCACCATAATCGAGGAATGGCGGAAAGCCACTTACAAGGAGCAAGAGGCGATTGCTCAGAAGATTGTTGATGCCAAACGCGAGGCCGACGCCAGAAACAACAACAGTGGCAGCGGTGACTGCGAATTCTACCAGGAACCGACATACTCGGCTGGGCACCTTGCATCCTTGACTTTCGCCTTGACTGCCTGGTACACCGACCAGAACACTAAATATAGAACCATGGACGGAAATGGGACAAGGGCAAGGAAACGAAATGAACGCAACAAAGAAAGGCCCAAGGGCATCAGGGCCACTTTCGATTATAGCTTTGGCGACATTGAATACTATAAGAAAGCAAAAGAAGGACAGCAAAATTACAGCAACAAACATCCGGAAAAAAAGGACAAGGCCGCTTCAAAACAGGGTGCGAGAACAAAACAAGAAGACACGGAGCATCGGGATTCTTCCGATGACCCCGAGACAAAACTTTTACAGGCCAAGGAACGGCCCGAGGAGGCCAAAAAAAGACTCGACGAAGCGGAAGAGAAAGGGGATGCTCAAAAGCATGTTCCCAAAAAGAAGTCTACCAAGAAGAAGGGTAAAAGGAACGACCCTGCGGCGCAGACAGCTGTCGAAGAGGCCAGCGAGAGCCTTGAGACAACCAAACGCGACTGTAGACGTGCCCCAAAAGAGCGCAGCAGCGCCAAAGACACGGACGCGGTAGAGGAATCTCCGAGAAGCATTCAACAATCGGCAAAATCACATGCCACAGCTCATACAGACGATCTCGGTGAGAGGAGCGGAAACGAGCCCGCCAAGGAGAATTTTGAACCCTCATATAACGACGCTATCTGCTACACACGCTCATTTTGCCTATGGCCATGCCTAACGGATGCAAATGGGGTCTTTGAAGGAGAAAATTTGTATCCTTTACCAGGCACCGCCGGTCAGGGCCAGCTCGTAGATAACAAAAACCTGAATTGCCCGGGCTCACTGGGTTTCAATCAGGGGGAGTGGCTCGAGAACTGCCATAAAACCCAGGAGAGTGTCCCAATCGTATTTCCAAGAGAAGATGTGCTGGTCTGGCAGGAATCCATGTCCACGCCAACTTTCAACGCCTCGATGTCATCTACCCAGATGCCAACGCCATGGGCGTCGCAGGGCCGAGTCCTGGAGGAAGCACCAGACTCGGACGAAGACAGTCCCCTCAGGGTGAAGCAAGAACCCTCGCAGCAGCGAGTCGTGGAGGAAGCACCAGACTCGGACGAAGACAGTCCCCTCAGGGTGAAGCAAGAACCCTCGCAGCAGCGAGTCGTGGAGGAAGCACCAGACTCGGACGAAGACAGTCCCCCCAGGGTGAAGCAAGAACCCTCGCAGCAGCGAGGCCTGCAGGAACTACCAGACTACAACAACAACATAAGCGACCCCAGGACAGTGCCGTCACGCGTGGCAGCGCCGCGGAAGCGAGGCCAGCGCCAAATATCAGACTACAACGACGCCGAGGAGGCCCCCAGCACAAAGCGAGCTCGCATTGCAGCTCCGCAGCAAGTCTCCAACGCGGCAGCGGCATGCCATACACCGTCCTACGGCCCGAACAGGCCAACAAGGAACAAGCGACGCGCCGACGGCGATTTAGACGACTCTTCCCACAAGAGGATGTGTCAATAGAGCGGATGGCATCTTCCAGCGCGGAGGCGGCAGGAATCGGAGGCGCTTAGTCCCAAGACTATTCCGGCGGCGCTGCTCAAGTCACAGGGGCAGAAATAAAGGATATTCGGATAGCTATGGTGTGCGTGATACATGTGTTTGGTTGGCCGGTTTGCCTAGTTTCAACCGGAATTGCGTTTTGAGCATATGGAAGAAGTGTGTAATGAAAGGGGGAGAAAACTTTCCGAGACCCCCTGGTAAGAGATTATACCATCCCTGTTTTTTCTTTCATCTGTTGTCTTGTATATATATATCAGGCTTGGTGCTGTTTAATGGTTTAGAATGGAGTTATTTGCAAACCCGTCGCTCAGTTAAGAAGTAATGTTACGTGACACGTCGTTGTGAGCCCCCGCACGCCGCGTCCGTCGAGTTCGTCATCAAATAACCCACGCGCAAGATGGTCGTTGAAATTCGCGAAAACCCGGAAACCAGGTGAAATAACTACCGTCTCGTCCACGGGCAACTGCCGTCACCCTGCATTTCCTTCCACCCCTCCCTTGCTCCCCCGCCGGCGATGCAACCCCGGCGAGACTCGGCAGACCCTTAATATTTCTAATCAACCCGTCACGGAAGGGCAAGCCAATCACGCCGCTCGCCGCGAGCAATTACAGTAATCGCTTGGTAAGCGGAGCCCCTCGCCAAGTTCTAGTGGACCTGGGACAAAACTTGACTCCATTGGGAAGAATTGCATCATGGAGCTCGATCCTCTTGGCAGGCCGCAGGATGCCTCCACGCAGTTCTCTTAAATAACAATCTTGCCAAAACCCCCATCGTGCACATCCATGCCTCCCCTCCGGCTTGCTCGCCCAACGCCTCGCCCGCCATCTCATCTCGTGCGCCATCGCAGCCTCACGGCCCCGTTCAGCATGTCCCGCGCCGCCGCCGCCGCCGCCGCCGGCCGCAACCCGCACCCGGACTTCAAGACGGTCGAGTCGTCCCGTCCCCCGGCGCCCCGGGCCTCGTTCAACGTCACGCAGACAACCGCGCCAGACTGGACGTTTGGCTCCGGCGCAAACACGCCGGAGCCGCCGTCGGCCCACGTCTCCATCGACCCGTACGAGCCTGGCCGCCCGGCCGTGTTCAACTACAAGCTCCTCATATCGGGCATTGTCCCGCGCCCCATTGCCTTCTTGTCCACCCGGTCGGGCGACGGGTCGACCAACCTCGCGCCGTTTAGCTACTTCAACATGGTGAACCACGACCCGCCGCTGTTTGTCGTCGGCTTCGCCAGCTCCGTTGCTTCGGCCAAGGATTCTCTCAGAAACCTGCTCGAGTCCAAGGAGTGCGTCATCAATGTCATCTCGGACTCGTTTGTCGAGGCTGCCAATTCGACCAGCATCGACGCGCCGTACGGCACCTCGGAATGGGATGTTAGTGGGCTGACTGCGGAGGAGTGCGACGTGGTCAAGTGCCCGCGGGTCAGGGAGGCCGTGTTTAGTGTGGAGGCGAAACTCGACATGGTGAAGGAGTGGGAGAGCAGGGTTTCCGGCCAGAAGACAGGGGTCATGGTGGTATTGGAAGGGGTCCGATTTTGGGTGAGGGAGGACGCTGTCAATGAGGATAGAAACATGATCGATCCTGCGGTAAGTCGGATTTGGATGCGAAATTGGCAACCCGGGTAAGCTGTCGTCGTGTGCTGACCGAGTTTGTAGGTTTTGAGACCCATTGGAAGGATGGGGGGCATCACGTATAGCAGAACGAATGAGGCCTTTGAGTTGCCAAGACCCAAGTTTGAGGAAGATCTTGGCGGACATCAAGGGCTGGAGAGGATCAAAACTCAAAAGTGAGAGAAGTGCTCTCGTCGAAACACGCGTGTCCTATGCTAAGCGGGAACTCATTAACAACAGCAGATTATAGAGTAGACCCCAAAAAGTGGTATAGATATAGATATGTAAGTACCTTGAGATGTCATCCATTCATGCATCATGATGTGTATAATCTCCAAGCGTGCACAACTCCCGCACACTTCCTCGTCTACCCAACTCCCCGCCAGATTTGAAAAAAAGAAAAGAAAAAAGAAAAACGAAAAGAAGAAGGGGGAGAGGCAAAAAAAAGAACAAAAGCAATGCCGGCTAAAAGTACAGACTCATTCCCGATTTGGACATTATAAATTCACACCCAAGATTCATTTCCTTCTCATAGTCCTGTAATTGCTGCAATATGGTATCTCCCACCTGTGGTCCGTCTTCCAGTCGATCCTTGACGTGAATGATGATCACCTTGAGGCCCTCAAGCGGCTTTTTCTCGAGAATAGGATCCATTGGCCCGAAATCATGCAGGGACAGTTCATCGGTAGGTGTCGCCAGATGCGGTGTATCAACATGGTCCGGTGTTGCCTCCTGTTTTGGTACCGTTGGCTTGATCGACTTCGGTGATACAGAGTCATCATACATAAAGCCCTGTTTGCCGAAAGGATTCCGCCGCTGGTTCATGATTTCATCCATGCTTGAACGTTTTCTTTTTTTGGAATCAAAGGTCCCAAGCTTCTGCGCAACTTCAACCTCATTCGCTAGCACCCGTAATTCTTCCATTAGAAAGCCCGGCTTCAAGTGTCCAAATAGTCGGTCATTGCTTTGAGAATCGTCGTATGAACATTCAATAAAGATTGCGACCAGTATGCCAGAGACAATTCTGGGAGCAGCTTCTTGCCAAACGTACAGGTTCCGCGGACTGAGGGAGATACTATCAGGTTCAACATCTCCAAAAATGAGCACCTCGCGGCGATGTGACTGATCTCTTATAAAATAAGCGCTCGAGTCATAGACGCAGAATTTTTCCTGCTCATTGCTGGCAGCAAACTGCGTCGATGACACCGCCGAAAATGCAGCCTGGCTGAGCAAACCAGTGGCCTTGGGCGTAGGTTGCATTGCCGTGTGGTAGTGAATATCTCTTCTGGGTGTTTGCGATGAAGCGTCATGACTGCCAAAACGCGTCGACACACTAGAGGCGGAACCCCTATGAGGATGTCTCTCAATACAGTGGCCGTGACTGACACTCCAGGTCTTAACTAACAGACCGTCGCACACTTCCATATACCCCTTTCCTTCACCATCTCCAAGAGCTGGGCTGCCGCCCTCAACAAGCCTCAAGTAGGTGAGCAGGCCGGCACCATTATTCTCGTCACTTAAATTAGGCCAGATAACGTTATTGAAGATGTGGTTCTTGAACGCTTGGATGGTGCTGGGTAATCCAGCAAGCTTCTTGGGGCGAGTCCCCGGCAGACCAGCCGTATTAACAACAAACCCAGAGATGTGGTCGAGATGAGGATGTGTAATGAGATATGTGTCGACCAAGGATCTCGTGACATGAGCTGCATTAGCGGCTGCGGATGCGTATGGTAATTCCAGTCCAGCAAATGCTCCAGCACTTAATGTGAAAGGTAAGTTGGTAGGTGGTGTTGAGGGGTAAGATTCTTGTAGCAGACGGGTGATGGCGGAGAGATGGACGCCAGCGTCAACGGCGACGATGGATCCTTTAGACCATTTCTCGGCGACGGATCGTACCAGAAATGCTGTGATGTTGGATTCTTGCGGTCCTCCTCCAGAACCCTAAGACAAGTTAACGACACGCGTGTTGATGAAATCATTGCAAGTCGACACTCCGACCGAGTGCGGCCCAGAAGAGTGTGCGCCTCGCAGGCCTTAAGCAGCGGCAGGCAAGATCTTGACGGTACGGAATAATCAGTGAGAACTTACTAGAACAATGACCTGCAATGCAGGATCCGCGACCTCTCCCATCGCAAAATTAGGATGTCCCTTCGAACTTGGTACTTCCTGTTCGTCTCTATCCTCCTCAACGTGGCGATCCTTGGCCTAGGCGCAGATAGATTCAAGGACAAAAATACGTTTCGGCGTGTTCTAGTCGTTTCGCAGCTACACGTCATCAAAACTACCAAGAGAGCATTCGCAGAGGCCAAAACTGTTGCTGCTCCGTCCTCGCTGCCAAAAACCGCACGTGATGCTGATGATGTTGATGGTGACTTGAGTTCTACAATACGTAGCTCTTGGTGGCGGCGCCCGCTTCGTAGTTACACCGTAAGCTTTTAGCTCTCAACCAACGACGGGCTGTAAGCTCCGGCCAGCGGGCGAGAAGGATCAATCTGAATGGTCAGGAGATGGGTCCCCGGTATCTTGTACATATGCCGTAATTTACCGTCTTTGTTCAAATGTGACACGTTCCGCATTTGTTGGTGTCTCAAGGCAAGATCTAAATCATGGGGCACAGGGGTGACACGAACCATGGGCAATACTGAACCTTTTTCGACAGGATCGGCGACAGAAAGCGGACGTTGATGCCAATAAATTGCCGGCGAGCAATAGGCTGAACTCCGCGCGTGACTCGATAGAGCCATGTGGTTCGCAAGATGCACGCCTTGGGATTGGATGTTGGAGACCGGAGATCCCGTCCATTGATCGGCAGTGAGTTATCAGGTCTGTTGCTTGCCTGCATGGGGTAATGCTGGAGCTTTTGTCTGATAGTAGCCTTTGTATTACAGGGTAGCGGCGAGTACTTTGCTATTCCTGGAGAGCAATCAGGAAACGGTCGAGCAATCAAAAGCCGAACAATGGCAGCAAAATGGAGCTTTGCATGACAGCACAGCACAGATCCTGACTGAAGTGGCGCCGTTGCCTCACTGCTCCAAACTGCATGCACATGCACGTCGCGAACCAGGGCACCATGTCGGTGGCTTCGGCGATCCCGCTGGGCTGGTGTGAAGCTGCCATGCTGCCAGGGTAGCATTCCATTCCATTCGGGACGACTGCCCCAGTCCTGGCCACGCAGTCCACCTATTGTGGTCTCGACTTGATCGATCAGCACTCCGTGACTTTTATCGATCCGACTCCCCATGTCCACTTGCCTGGCTGTCAGTGAAGCTGATGCGCCATCAAGGTATGGTGGAACCATCTTGAATGGGATGGCGGAGTCGCCTAGAAGTGGTTCATCCACTTCGTCGCTGACGGGTAGTTACTGCCTGACTTGGCTAGTCAGCTCAGCCTAGCAACCTTTGTCTGTCGAATTATGGCGGAGGTACGTAGTACTGGAACCGTTGATTAATTGTTGAATAATCGGGGGACTATAACAGCTTCGTCAGCGTAGGCATACAAACAACCCCAAGGAGGAGAATGAGAGACGCTGGCGAAATAAAGTTGTGTCGAGATGCCAAAGGTGCCCAGGCAGGTAATTCAATGTTGGTGGGAGGAGAGGGCATACGGGCAGGTGCTATCTGGGCACCTTCCAGTCCAGATCCGCACATGCATGTGCCACTGGCTGCGGGCCCTGACGTCTGCAAAAATCCAGACATTACGGAGTCGATCAACATATCCTTTAAGCCAGTCTTTGCATCCATAATTCCTCCCTTTTTCTGTTTTTGCTATTCCTTCTTCACTTCTCCATCAACAGCCGCCTTCACTGGCAACTGGCTCGGACGGGGCACTCCTTAAACAACCCACCCCCTGACAGGACGACGGATTTACAATAATATGAGATTGCCGAAGCTCCGGACTGGCGTCACGAGTACCCATAACTCGATGATGCGAGCCTAGGGTCTACTGACAAAATTCCATCAGGTAGTGGGTAATGCAGCTGGCTGGAAGCCTACTGTTGAACCGGACACTTTTTTGGGTCCGCTATGCGGAAGGGCTCAACCAAGTGAAGGCAACATCCATTGCCTCGCCCTGGTCGTTTCACATTGAGTCAGGGCCGTCGGGGCCCTAATTGTGTCCTCGTAATGCAAATCCAGGTACAATGACAGCGTATTTCGCTTACATCCTCCCTCCGAAGAGTCATACGGTAGCACGACATGCCACGCGCAACCTCGAGGCGAGCAAGGACAAATGGCCATTCAAGAAATAAGCCACCATGTACAACAAGATAGCATTCTACAACCAGAATCGCAACGCGAGGATAACATATTGGATCTTGCCGCGCACATCACTAGACGTCACGGTCTCGCTGCAGTATGTATAGACAAACCCAGACGCGTTCTGACGGCTGCGCGAGGGGCAAGGCCGTGAGGACGGAGTTGTGCGTTTTCTAGTCATACTTCTTTGGTGGCGTTGAGACCCTCTCGCAAATAAATAGGCACCTCGCTTTCAAGTTCGAAACTAGTCTTCTTATCTTGGATGCTCGAATCGAAAACTGAACCTAAAGCCAAAAGTGATTCAAAAGACATTTCCTTGTCGTTCTTCTTTCAACTCAGCGGCATAGCTTCTCCTCCAAGTTCAACCACGGTAATGTATCCCATGAAAAACTACTGCCTTCACCAGAAGGAAGAGTTCCATGTCGATCAGGAATGTGTACATCTATTCAGTTCTAAAACGCGTACAATTCGGTCACCCAGACGGATCCGTCGTCGACGGCGCAGTGTAATCTCGCCTTTTTGAACCACTTGCATCACCGGCTGGCTGGAAATGGGTAGAGCTGGGTTAGGCTTTGATTGCTGGGATTGGATGTAAGTGGCTTGCGCGTAATAGTGTTTTATTACCCCAGTTCGTAGCGTACACATGTTAACCTTAAAAAAAGGCCATGCGTTGTTGACTTGCCACAAATCTCCGCATCCGACTCCCTAGGAGAGGGGGAAACCTGGGGTACCCATTGCAATCTACTCTTCGAAATTCAACTCTGAAGCCGAGGTTCCGCTTCCGTTCTTGAAATAAGGGCGCGGCTAATGGGGAGACTTGTCCCGATCGCTATGCCGCCACTACCTCTAGATCGACCCACGATGTTATGAACGGAGCCGGGTGAACTGCCAGAACCGCCTCGTCTACGGTTACGTATTAAGGATTTA